AGTGCCCCGTCATATCCTCAAGGTTCAACACAACTGGAGGCTGATTGACTTCAGCAGCCAACAACCCATACAAGCTTCGTCTTATTTTATCCTCCCACCCATCAAGCAAATATGTAAGCTTTTTACATTCCTTGAGACGTGCAATCAGTGTTCTGCCGGTCAGTGAACCAAGGTCACGGTCACTGACTGGATTTCGTGGGAAAGCTGGCGAAGTTTATCGATGTTCATCTGAACACGACTTTGAGGAGTTTCCTGGTCCTACTATAATGAACTATGCTATATCTGGTCAATGCTAGAATCTTTGATTAGACGTTATCTTTGTGCCGCTTCACATATCATTACTCACATAAACGCATGGTTTTCGTGTGTTCGGTTCAAGGGCACACTTCAAGACTTATAACTCGAAGATGGACTCCCCACTTTCGACACGCTAACTCGATGGCGAAGATCAGCAAGAGATCAAAGTCAAACCGAGGATGGTGGTGGGATCATTTCGTGGAGCACCCAGGTTATGCTGTCAAAGACCCAGCTTCGATGGTCAGCGGAAAGGCAAAGGTGGTGTGTGCAAGGCTCTATGAGCAACGCGTTGCGCATGAGCGGGCAATAGATGAGCAGCAGGTTCACGCAGGCCAGCGAGATGCACCGAGGGATGAAGTGGCGATCGCAGGCACTCGTACGCAAGCCTGTTTTATAGCTTTCTTTTACTAACTTGAAGTACTAGTTTGGGCCAGTGGCCAGAATGATCCCCAACGCACCTGGTTAATCAGTCGGCCGACGACACTATTATGTCACTTGCGTGATTGCACATTGCACTCTGAGGATATCCGTTCGCAAGCACGGCTTGAATACCACCAATCATATTCACCGCAAAAAGGTGCCACTCGGGTCCTAACTCCAGCACATCTCAGTGCTATACCTCCAATCATTCTCGCCGCCAGCCCACCAGATCTCAATACATCATCGACTATGCAGTCTGCACGTCCGAGTTTTCCCGCATTGCTAATTCCCGAGGCTGACACAGCCTCGAGTTCTTCCAGTAGCCTTTACCACGACTCTCTGTCGGTCAGTCCAAGTCCTGCCCTCTTGGAAGTCTCATTACCATCCCATCCAAAGCGCCAACGTCTAATCCAATCCGGTCAATACCACTCTGCTTCTGGCTCACTTCCGCCTCTCTCCCCCATAGCACTGGGCAACCAACTTAACGGCTTTGGCGACCAAGCTTGGACGACTTCAGATCAAGCTGATTGGGAAATCGGGCTTGCAAGACTCACTGCAAGCGCTGGTTTACCACTGCGGTGGGTTGAGAACCACGAATGGAAAGTATTATGCGACTGTTTTCTCCCAAGAGCGAAAATTCCCTCTGCAAAAGTCTTGACGCAGCGTGTCCTACCCCATGCCCTTAATATACTCAAAGGTACCGCTAAAGAAGAATGTCAAGGCGCTAACGCAACATTGCAATGTGATGGTTGGACTGGTGAAAATCACCATCACCTCCTGGGGTTTATGATGACTGCTCGCCGAAAGGTAAATCTAACTGCGGAGACCATCAATCATTTTACTAATTGTCTATTTAGCTGCACACGATTAAAGTTCACGATGCTTCAATGGACCCTCACACTGCCGAAGAACTTCTCAAGCAAATGTTAGATGCAATCAGCAGGATCGAGTCTGAGTGGGGGGCAAGTGTTATCGCTTGCACCACGGACACGTCCGGCGAATCACGAAAAGCTCGGCATCTGCTTCAAGAGCAGCTACCCCACATTGTTGTTCCTAATTGCTTGGCTCATCAGGTATGGCGATTTTTGTGATTCGTCACACTCGCTGATTATGAATGACACAACAACAGTGGAATCTCATCGTCGGTGACCTTTTAAGGTCAAAGATGACTACGGGATCTATGGAGACATGGCGCAAGAACTAATTACGTGGCTATGCAGCAAGACACATGTGCTCGCCATTCTCCGCGAAATACAGATGGCGACAATCGGAAAGACGCTCGCAGTTCTCAGGGCAGTGCTGACGCGTTGGATGTCTCATTATCTTGCCTATCGCTGCCTCCTTGAGCTTCATCCTGCACTCGAATTGCTTGTAACGAAGCACAAAGCTCATTTGATATCAGGTGGAGATGCACACTCACGCAGAAAGACTCAAACAGCCATTGCAACAATCAAAAACGCAACATTTTGGCATGCATTGGCATGGTACGGTTCAAAAATAAATGTAAAAATTGGAACTAATGCTCTCTGTAGATGGAAAACGTTGCTGGAGCCAATTTCCCTCATGACGAATGTTCATCAAGCAGCCCAGGCAAGACCCGAAAATGTTGCAATATCATTTGGTTTTCTGCACTTTCACTACTCCAAGATCGACAACAGCACTGATCTGGCAGCTCGTACAGCTGTTCTTGCAAGCGTCGAGCACCGCTGGGAACAGTGCAACCAGGAAGTCTTTATTGCTGCCATCATTGTGAATCCTTTCTATAAGGTTTCTCCATTCCGGAATGTACCCCTCACAATGCGTGCGGGGCTTGCGACACTTTTTGCACGTCTTTGGCGCCATTTTTACAACACTAATGATATACCACTTGATCTTTATATGGACTTGGACGACTATTTGAATAGCTCCCATGACTTCGCATACATGGACAACTACAAGCTTTCACTGTTATATCGCACAGAAAAGGAGGTATGCTTCATCAAACTGATTGTTTCAAGTTCAGAAGACATTGCTAACAGTCCTCAGGGTGTTTCGGTCGATCCAATCGATATATGGACAGGACTGTCACATCCCGGTTCAGCACGTCGACCACTTCATACTATCGCTCAATGTCTTCTCTCAATTTGCCCGAATTCTGCCTCTTGCAAACGCCTATTTAGCATGTTTGGCGCGATTCTCACGAAATGGCGCAATCGGCTCTCAACTGAGACGCTCACCCTTCTGGCAGAACTCAAGATGTATGTTCATGAGGAGCATGTACGCAATGATGTGGTCAAGAAGCGGCTTCAGCGCCGGTACTGTGACACCGAGGACACTGACAAAGCAGAGCCTACTCAAGTAGTTCATGCAGTTGGTGATGATCTATCAGGAGAAAGCAGTGAACGGGAGCCACGCAGCCTTGCTTTCGAGAGGCGAGGGATAAGCGATGTTGCCGCAGACCTTATCCGAGCTGTTCAGGAGGAGGAGGAGATTTCCGCCACAGAATCAATGCACTCAGTCCCCGTCGGTGCTGTTGGTGGTTCATTCTCCCGCATTGCTATCAATGACTTACTTGACTATTCTCGTGCGGAGGAATGGCTAGGATCTTTTTATAAAGTCACCATTCGAGGTTTAGACGCTGAGCTTGAGTTGTATGAGCTTCTTGACTTAGATGCAGAGGGAATCGACGATCCAGACTTTCCTCAAGCTGACGATGTTCTTGACGAGTAGATTCAGAAAATTAGTGCTACCTTAGTAGTAGTAGTAGTTGAGTACTATCCATTCTGCGATCGTTGACGCACCGTGTACTGCACTTTGAACATTCACTCCTGCTTCATCGTCCAATCAAACATGATTATCTAATATCCAAGCAGGACATCTGGCACTGCACGGGTTCAGTTCACTTGCATCCATGGGAAAGTTCGCAGCTGAACGTACGTTAACTTTGATGAACGTACACTGACCGGCAGAACACTGCGTGCAATGTCCTCGATTTGGACGCACACAACTTCACTATCCATAATTGAATGTGACAGCACATAACGTGATGGTGCTTGATACGAGGGCCGAATTTCATCAAGGAAGTTACGGAAAAACCAGTTCTCCGCAACCAAGAAAGGTATATTAGCGTGAACGATGAATCTGTGGGTTTAATATTCACACAGTCAGTACACAGTCAATGATTTGTGACACTTGAACTCACCGAAACAATTTGAAATTTGCACGTGTTGCTTGCTCTGGAGTGACTGGAAGATCCACGAATCCAAAGAGGTTCTTCTGTTTCTGTGGAGCTTTAGCTGTGTCTCCTGAAGTTGATGGGGATGAAGAATCTGCATCCACGATAGGTGGGAGTAGTAGTGCTTGATTTCCGTTCTTTGTAGCGAGATAGTTACGGACTTCTGTGCGAGCGTGATCTGGAGCCGTAGGGCAAATATTCCGGTCAAGAATATGCTTGAGATGTTTGTCGTCGCCGCGTAGGGCCTGACATGGGTAGAGGTTGCCCGGGTACCCGCCCGGGTGGAACCCACGGGTGGGGTGTGGGTCGGGTGCTACGGGTTACGGGTTGGCTTGGGTGCTGCACCCGGGCGGGTATGGTCATCGACATCCAACTTTCGAAGCTACCCACGGGTGCCCGCGGGTCACTAGTAGTATGGCAGTGTTGAGCTTTGTACCTGGTCGCCTCGCTGTACATTGACATCAAGTGCTGTTGTAGCCGACATCAAATGACATAGCAACTTTGACAACTTTGACAAGTACTTGCCGAAGCTTGCAGGCTGCATCTTCAGAAGTTCAGCCTCGTACTAACTATGTGGGTCTACCGAAAATTTGCTAACAGTGATAGGCTAGATTTTCGGGCTAATCGCCCGAGTTCAATACCTTTCGACCTATGAGAGAGCAAAACCCGAGACTCGAGAGTTCGTGAATTCGTGTGCGGTATGTCTCCCTCAGAACCTCGAACTCCTTCCAAACGGACCAGATCATGAACTCGAAGCAATACAGATTCGCCAGCACCAGTTATACTCTCCCCTACCAAACCTCGTGAATCGGATTCCAAAGAGAAGACAGACATTGATGTTTGGGACCTACCGGATGCCGAAATTATTCGTAAGCTCAGCCTACAGTCTTGCAGTTGTTGATTTAATCACGATTCAGATCACTCGCGCACACGATGGAAGTCAAAAGTTTACAATCATTACGATGTCTCGTTGGAGCGCCACCGTCGTGGGGATGGCAATCCCGACTATATTCTCTACATATTTACGTGCCGTGTCGATCCAACTAGCCATCGCCACAAGCGAAAACGCATGCAAAATGGACAGGGGACGAAAAACCTTCAGCGTGGGGTAGACGAGTGCGAGACACGGCGTGGTGTTCAGGCTGGTACCCTGGATTCTGTTGGCGCACAACAAACTCTCGAAAATTCAGTGTCATCTTACACACAAGCTGCACACCGTGCGCTAATTGCTTTGCGCTGTGCAGTTTCAAAGCGCCCATTCAACTTTGTCACTGATCCACACTACATTGCTGAAGTCCAGCTCCTTCGACCAGGAGTTATTATCCCCAACCCCCGTACTGTTGCGCGTGACGTGTCCGCTATCTATCTCGAGGGATCGAAGCAAGTCAAAGTGTATTTTTCCGTACGTCTTTCCTTTTTGAATAAGATCTGTCCTGAATTTCTTTGATGCTGTATAGAAACACGTTGGTTCCATCCACCTTGTGATCGATGGATGGACTTCCCCTTTCGCTGCAGCTTACTTGGGATTGGTTGTAGTTTGGTTGGCGCAGGGAATTATCTACCGTACTATACTCGAGTTCATCCGGTGAGTTTTTCAATCAAATTGGTAGCACCGTGATTCTCATATGTTGTGGTTAGGCTTACACAGAGTCACACTGGCTCATACCTCGCACGAGTCACAGCGGATTGTCTGAAACGCTTTGGATTAGAGAAAAAGCTACATACTCTTACTATGGACAATGCGAGTAATTGTGATGCGACGGCAGAGCACCTCGTGACCTTAATTGATGGGTTCCGTGGCAAGTTGTCCAGGTCTCGTTGCTTTCCACACACAGTGAACCTCATAGCGAAAGTACGTGTTTCTTCTCCTTTTTGCTCATTGGCAGGCTGAACATCCAATGCAGGCATTTATCTCCTTCTTCTTCCGGCAGCCGAAATGCAAGAAAATAATTGCAACGGGTCAACACACACGTAAGCGTGGACCAGCAGCTGTTGCTGGTGCATCAAGTGTGACGGCAACCACGACTGATACCACTGAAGTCGAAGTCGAGCAGCTAACAGCTGATGAGGAACATCTTGCTGCAGACGTGTTGGAGCCGCAAAGTGGTGATGGTGAGATTGACGCAGACAAGGATGCCCATGACAAGGAAGTTGTCTCAGCCGTTCATCGGGATGCTCTCAACACTGGCAAGGAAATGGGACTGTTGATAACTTCAGCCGAGCAACGTGAAGCACTCGGGCTATTTCCAAGGGCGGGAATACTTTTTTTCATAATAAATTGTTCTAACCTTATGCAACAGGTTGCGGGTCTTGCCAAAAGACTGCATGACAGTGCCAATCTTCAAGCTGCATTCGAACGGATTGTGACAATCGAAGGTGGTGGTCCGTCCCAGAAAAAGACTTTGGATCGACGAGTCCCAACACGTTGGAACTCAGATTTCGCTTGCCTGAAGACTCATATGTCATTCGAGAAGGAAATCAAGCTATTTACTAGCCAGGAAGCCAATGGCTTGCAGATATATGCTCTCACCGTGACGCAGTGGAAGCTTACAAAGCAGCTTATTCCTGTGCTCGAGGTACTACTTTGTCATGTCCGAAGTTTTGCCCGTCACCAATGCACTCGTTGCTTAGATTTTTGATGACTTGACCAATCGTTTCTCGCAGGCTGAGGTGCCTCTTGTGCACGAGGTCATTCCTATGCTCGAACGTCTCGAACATATGATGGTAAAAGTTTCACGTGATACTGAACTATCTGCTATAGTTCGAGTCGCCGCACTTGCAGCACTGCAAGTCATTGGGAAATACTACGCACTCACAGATGACAACGAGGTCTATCGCATTGCAATTAGTACGTCATTTAGTTCCTTTCTGGTAAAGGCTTACTACAACTCGGCGTGTACTAGTAATGTGCCCTGATAAAAAAATGGAGTGGTTCACCAAGAACCGAGATTGGCATGAAGAAGATAAAATTGAAGCACGGCGCATCGCAACTCAACGCTGGTTGGAAACTTATGCACCAACTGCTGCCGACCTTTTATCAACTCAGTCGTCGAGTCGTCCACCAGCGGTATGTACAGCAGCAGAGAAAATTTTGCTTGCTCATCGATCTTACTAATTTGCAGAGAAAACAATCAAAATATGACATCAACGACTCCGATGACGAGTCTTTGCACAATGCACCATCATTGGACTCACTCGAATCCTACATCAATTCTCCACGTGTCTCGAGACCTGAAATTATTGGTATCGGCGGAGTTCTTAAATATTGGGAGAATGCTCGCGCTACGAGACCCCGCCTAGCTCAAATGGCGTTGGACTTCCTGTCTGTTCCAGGTATGTGATGTGGATGACTGTAACAATGCATTTTGACTGTGGCGTAAATCAGCGTCTTCTGTGGATGCAGAACGAGCATTTTCCTGCAGGTCGTCTGCAGGTCAATCACCTTCAACACGGCATCAGCTCACAGGCCTTTAAGGCCCAGATGGCCATCGGTTCGTGGTACAAGACCCCGTTCTTGGACGACAAAATCGCTACTCGAATCCTCAGCGAGAGCATGAAAAGAGGCAAGAAGGGAAAAGGTAAAGCTCGACAGGATGCTGGCAGTGATCATGATCGAGATAATGTCGTAGAACTCGATAGTGACTAACTCCGGCATGTTTTAGTTCACTTGTACTAGCGAATTTCATTGACTCGGATGCTACATGATAATGAGTAGACGTACAATGTACCCGCGGGTGACCCGCACACCCGCAGGTAACACCCACGGGTGACCCGTACCCATTCCACTTGACCCGGGACGGGTACGGGTATGGCCCAAAAACTCAACTGACCCGCGGGTAATACCCGGGCACGACCCGGGTCGACCCATGTCAGGCCCTATCGTCGCGACCTTCTATAGACGTCGAACAGTAGTTGCATTTGTAAAAATAACGGTTGGATGAATTTTGGGCTTTTCGATCCTGGATAAAGTGGTTGGTGATGATTTTTCGAGTAGGGCGGCCCGTAGACTTTTTCGAGGACATATTGGCATGCACGGAGGCTCAGATACACTTATTCGAAGTCAAACATATTCTATTTGATGATAATACAAATAAGATTCACGTTGACTTCTGCCGACTTCTGCCCAACGCCCTCGACCTACTGCCGGCAATTGCCGTTTGGCAATTGCCATTGGCAGAATGGCAGACTTCTGCCAACAACACTAGGTCTTGTGGATAAGTACAAAAAAAGTGGGAAAAGTAAACGCGTGATTTCCTGATGTACATTGTCGCCCTCTTATTAGGATCTGGCTAAAAACTCGTTTCCGCAGTGAGTACTGTATCTACTTGCGCCGTAATGTTAATGTGTCACAGTACTCCAAAGATGCTGCTCAAATTCTTATCAGGTGGTCTTTGCAACGAGGGTGAGTATGACACGATTTGCATTAGCTTATCTTTTTACCTGACTCTACCTAGATTTGTGCCTTTACCCAAATCCTCGCAGCCCCATCGTATCATATCCAACAGCCAAGTGTTCGACTGGAACATCGAACTGACAGACATGGCCAAACTTGACGCGCTGGATCGGGGGAAGGAGGGCGCAGTTACATGGAATCCAGTCGACGTCGATTCAGGAGCAGTGGATGGCCAGGGTCAGCCGCATCCTCTCGTCTCAAGTTTTAGACAGCAATGTGTCTACAACGAGCAAAGAATCAGATTCCTTCGTTCCCGAGTTTGAAATACAACAAAGTTTCGATCATAGCAGGATAATACAGCAAGCACTAATCAATCAATCAACTGCGGTTTCCCAAAGGTCAACAAGAGGCCAACAAACTATCTATATGAGCATGTGACCGTAGAAAGCCCAGCGCCAACAGCAAACGAACATACACCGTAACCCCTTACAGCAATCAAGTACCATTGCTGAAGGTCATGAGTCTTCGGCGAATGTCTAATAGGCGTTGTTTTCTTGTCGCGAGCATTGTGCGTCTCTGAGTGATGGAAGCATCTTCGCTGACCAACTCAGCGAAGTCGGGCCCAGATGCAACATCAGTTAGCAAACTCGTAAGAAGGCTCTGCGAAAGTTGGTTCGCCAGGGCATGATGGAGAGCATGCTCGATCGTCAGAGGAATATGGTCAATGACGCGCTACTCGGGGTCGTAAACAAGCTGAAACAGAGATTATGAGCGATACTCACTTTGTAGGCAACGTGATAATAGGCTCGAACATCAGCCATCACAATCAGCTCTTCCTCGAACGAGTCGGGAGGCAACAGACGCGCAAGATCTGGTACCGTAAGATTTGTGTACCCCGCTTCCGCAAGAGCCCTCAAAGCTTTGGCCTCGAGTGGCTCTGAATCGCAGCATCGCCAACCAGGACTGGGCCTTGGTGTTCCCCAAGGCACAGGCGGCGGCAAACTGGTGTGGTCAGGTTCCGCCGATATAGAGTTTCGCGACTCAGATCGTTGAACGGGAGCCTTGTACCGAGAAGGGTTACTGCGAACTGTCTTATAATGGGCTAGCCATTTTTCGCGGAGTGTTTGAAGATAATGCGTGTTCTGAGTATAGTGTGGAGTAGTTTCCAGATCCAAGGCCGTATTGACAGCTGCTCGGGCGCGCGCCTTGCAGATATCAACCTGAATTCTAATCAGATTGCTATTGTCACAGACAACTTGAGCGAATGGAATAGTCATGAGGGGTCAACACTCACCCAACATAATCCTCGAGAACTTTGAAGCGACCAAAATGGATGCCTATGAGTGCGCTGACGACTTGATCAACCACAACATTGACACCAGCGAGACAGCGCTCAGACGGAGCAACCCAGAGTTTGGTGAATTGAGCGATGAGGTTCGCCTTCGCCTGATATGGCACATTTTTCGGAAGTTCCCATCCAATTGCCCTTGATGAATGGTTGAGCTGCCGTCCAACTGCCACAACAAAATATGAAAACATACTCGTGGATGACCCTGCGGATGTCATATATGCCCATCGCTTTCACGCCAGGATCTCGCTCAAGAAGAGTCATCTTCCCCTCAGTATCGTCCAGTGGAACATAGTCTTCCGGTTCATTGAAAGGCCTGAAGTCAGGAGCGGTACCGCGTATATCCCTCTTGAAAATGGCATAGAGAGCGCGATTCCGCTGCGCAAGACGTTTGTCTTCGTGACTGCCATTCACAAAGCTCTTGAAGACATCGCAGAACGCATTGACTCGTTCCAAAACCTCAATCTGTGGGTCATTTGCAAGTGGCAGAGGTAGTGCGTCGATGTCCTTTATACATTTGACAAGGAGCTTGTCGATATCTTCTCTGAGGCGCGGTAAACTATAAACGATGTAAGCGCTGTTATAACGAGCGAGCTAGAAGGTCCACGCACGCTTCCTCGATCAACTGGATGAGCAGTCGGCTTACATCGGAGACAAAGCCCGGAATTCCAAACCGACGACGGTCGATCATGTCGCTCCAGGGTGACGTCGTGTCAAAATACTCTGCAGCTCGCCTTTGTGATTCGGCACGAGACAAGCGTTGTGCGCGTTCGGCGTCATCAGGAAGACGGACGCAGTAAAAACCATGCCTCAGCGTATGCTCCTCCGAACGGCCCTCGATAATTTCTACCCATTTACGACGCTGGCTGATAGCTCCAACGCCGAGCGTGTCAGGCTTCGTAAGCACACCTGAACCATTTTGAGTCATTCAATTATACTGCAGTATGGGCGACTCACCAATTGTTCGCTTTCCATTGGGGTCTGCGGCCCTGGCGAGACTCATTGATTGCTGATTTTTCCATATCATCTGGCACAGAACTCATGAACTCGATGAAAAGAATTTAGCAGTTATACACATACCGCTCATGGGAATTGTGGTCAATATGATATGTTCTCTGTCTCGGTTTGTAATGTTCCGCCATACTTTTCACCAAGGCGACAGTTCGGATTCTTCGTTCTGTATCAAGCCTTCAACAACCCATCAGATATATCGTCTCAATCCAGATCAGCATATGCTTACCCGGCAGATCATAGAATGGACAAGTCAGTGGCATCGGGGTCTTCAATCGAGACGCACACCACGTTGCGGGAGAACTTCAGTGTATTTCTTGGCGCTCCTGAGTTCCTCGATGGTCTTTGTGTGGAAACTCGAAGAAGGAATGTTGGTTCAAAATGGCTGCTTGGGCACGACGCAGCCAAACATCAACCCTCACTTCTGTCGGTGATCGTTGGGCCGAAGGACACCAGTGGATAGGCTTTTGCCAGGTCTCGGCCATTATCAGGGTAAAATTCGCAGGTGATAGTGCAGGACCATGACGTGGCATAACTGGACATCGAACATTCCATAGGGCATTGCGTATGGTAGTGTGAGCACATCTTGTAGTGACTGATGACAGCAGGGTCAACCTGGTACATGTTCCGCTATCTCTTGGGACACTGATCTTTAACAGAATGAAAAAAATAGACAGAACGTCAAATTATTTGCTGACGTACCCACTAACGGCCCTCTACGAGTGAGCTTTTGCCCGCTGAACATCTGAGGTTGAACACAACTGCAGTTGCAAAGGGAGGCGACCACAACACGGAATTGACCCACCAATCACGACTACGATGGTATGTCGATCAGCGCGTATCGGCACTGTAAGAGATAGCGATGAGCAGTCTCGTAATCGGATTCACAAGCACCCACCCCATGGATCGGAGGTCGGCATCATCTCCATAAGCTATCTCCGCCTGCGGGCATAGTCACTGGACGATATGTCTACTTCAACCCATGCCATGTCTGGAGGGCTAACGGAACCAGAACTTGGAACGGAAGGAAGAGACATTTCATCAAGAGACGGAACGATCGAAGGTACTTCAAGTTGTTCATCAAGACGGAATGATCGAAGGTGCTGGAGCGTTAAGCAGACTGCTCGGTTGAAGGTGCTTGTCTGCGTCTATTGCGAAGTAAATCCATGGTAGACGAGATGTCAAAAGCGAATTGCACACAATATCCGGATGACCTCTGTTTTTATACGCCAGCGTTCGATCTAGAGGCTTCTTTGTCACTGTAAGTGCGCATCACGGCCATCCAGGGGAAACTACTGGCGTGCCGAGTAGAAGAAGATAAAGTGCCTTCAGATGAGTCGCGCAGCAACCATCAGCGCATCGACACGGATATTGGCGACACGTTGTTGTGTATTGAGGGTGATCCCTATACAACCAATTGTAGGAGATCTGCGATGACCTTGTTCGGGCATTTTTTGATAAACATCGATAGATTATCATTACGAGCCCGTGCACGCACGCTAATGTATGCCAGAAGATTAGCACACACGTACAGGAGATAAGGCTATTATCACATATGTACGCGTATGAACTCTCCATAGGACCACCTAGTAGAGGTGAAGGTGCAGACAGGCACGCGCTTCAGTTTCAGGGAGGTGTGATTCTGTGAATTTCAGAGCACGTGCAAGATGGATGCCAAAGACTGACCACAAGTCCTAGTAATCACTAGCGACTAAGTACAATACTTTCAATGATCCTGATACAGCTCTTTATACCCTTTGCAAACCTGTCCACGATATTAGCGACACCCCAAACACCAGGATCAGGAGGAACGCCAACCCCTCCTTCCTCACCCCGCCATCATCGCAATGCCTGCCCTAATCGTGTCGTCATCCGCTAGGTTTTTTCCGCACCT